AGTCGACAAACTCAAAACTGAAGAGTGGCTAACACAGGTAGTAACTCAGGAAGAAGTCAGATCAGAACCACCTCTGCAGGCAAACAGGCTGTCAGAAGATAAAAAGCAATTTCTTCTTAACCAAGATACACAGCCCGAGAAATCATTCGAGACATCTAGCCCTGGAAGACTTGTTATTCCCGACTTTCGTCAAAGCACTTTCACTACAGAGGTCAAAGAGACTACGTTATCGCCCAAAGTCGACAAACTCAAAAGTGAAGAGTGGGTAACACAAGTGGTTACTCAGGAAAAAGTCAGATCAGAGCCACCTCTCCAAGCAAACAGGCTGTCAGCAGATAAAATAGAATTTCTTCACAACCAAGATACACAGCCCGAGAAAACGTTCGAAAAATCTAGCCCTGGTAGACTTGTCATTCCCGAATTTAACCAAAGCACTTTCTCCAGAGAGACCAATGAGACTAAGCCATCACCCAAAGTCAACAAACTCAAAACTGAAGAGTGGGTAACACAGGTAGTTACTCAGGAAGAAGTCAGATCAGAACCACCCCTTCTGGCAAACAGGCTGTCCGGAGATAAAATGCAATTTCTTCACAACCAAGATACGCACCCCGAGAAAACGTTCGACAAATCGACCCCTGGGAAACTTGTCATTCCCGACTTTAATCAAAGCACTTTCACCTCAGAGGTCAAGGAGACTAAGCCATCGTCCAAAGTCGACAAACTCAAAGCTGAAGAGTGGGTAACTCAAATACTTACTCAAGAGGAGATCAGATCAGAGCCACCACTTCACGCAAACAGGCTCTCAGCAGATAAAATGCAATTTCTGCGCAAAGATGATACACAGCCTGACAAAACATTCGAGAAATCTAGCCCTGGAAGACTTGTTATTCCTGACTTTAGTCAAAGCACTTTCACCACAGAGGTCAAAGAGACTAACTTATCGCCCAAAGTCGACAAAATCAAAACTGAAGAGTGGGTAACACAAGTGGCTACTCAGGAAAAAGTCAGATCAGAGCCACCTCTCCAAGCAAACAGGCTACCAGCAGATAAAATGCAATTTCTTCACAACCACGATACACAGACCGAGAAAAAGCTCGACAAATCCAGTCCTGGTAGACTTGTTATTCCCGAATTTAGCCAAAGCACTTTCACCACAGAGGGCAAAGAGACTAAGACATTGCCCAAAGTCAACAAACTCAAAACTGAAGAGTGGGTAACACAGGTAGTTACTCAGGAAGAAGTCAGATCAGAACCCCCCCTTCTGGCAAACAGGCTGTCCGGAGATCAAATGCAATTTCTTCACAACCAAGATACACAAGCCGAGAAAAAGTTCAAGAAATCCAGCCCTGGCAGACTTATCATTCCCGACTTTAATCAAAGCACTTCCACCACAGAAGCCAAAGACACTAAGC